CCCGATTCGCAATTTTGCGCTATCATACTGGGTGTATGGTCGGCTGTGTGTGATTTTGCGAGTGTGGTAAAATCGCATAACAGCAACATCGCATAACAGCCGAGCATACACCCAGCAGCGCTGCTGATGCCTGAACGGTATGTGGAATGAAGTGGGCGGGCATCGGGAGGCCACTATGGCACGGGGCAAGCACTATGAGCAGTCTATCTGATGTGTACCTGGCGTATAAGACAACCCCCCACTTGGAGGCATATTATTCAGGGCCAAAAAATCGTCTTATACGCCGGCAAATACGGTACTTTGTGTGGCCTTCCCAGGACACATGAGAAGTGTCTGCGCTTTATCTTGCCCAGCCTTGAGGATGCTGGCTTCTCTGCTTAGTAGAAGAAATGAAACCGCCTTTCTCCTTTCTCCTCCCCGTCCTGTCTGCATTCTCTCGGGAGGGAGGCTCTAACCATTTGCTCTCAAAGATAATGGCTTGTAATCTGCAGGCCAGCTGCAAAATTGCCCTCACTGTTTGGCCTTGTTTTAACTTTCCTGTCTCCCTATTCCACTTGTCCTAAAAATTTTCTAGCTTCTCACTGCCCTGTAACATTTTTATTGCACAGAATTTGTAGTGAAAAGCTATTTTTCCTATTTAATGAAGGATTTTTGTTTTTGTTTTCTTTCACTCTTTTAGTCATTAAATATTTACTGAGGCTGTAACAGAGTGAAATGCTCCTCTCTCTGGCCTTCAGACTGATAGCTCCTGCAATGATGCTAATTAGCTACAGGAATGCTGTTTGAGGCTTGAGCAACCCCTTGTCAGCCAAGAGGTGGAGAAATAAGCACAAAGTAATTAATTTTTTTCAAAGATTTACTAGGTGTACTGGCTAATAATGCAGATTTTGTAATCAAAGAAAACACGATAATTTCAAGAGAAACATCAAAAGTGCTTTATTCAAGGTAATGCCCATCACTAACTACACATTTCCCCCATCTTTCATGTAATTTGTGGATACCACCCCAATAGAACTTTTCTTGTTTTGAGGCAAACCATTCAGAGAACCAATTTTCCACTTATTCGTATGTTTTGAAGTGCTGATCAGTGAAAGGGTTAAAGAGAATAATGGGGCAGAGAAAGACTTATTGTGCTTAGCAGAGATCTTGCAGAAAGCTTACAGCCTTGAGCACAGCATAGCTTAGATAACCAAAAGGCACCTGGGACGGGAGGAACCAAGGACGGACCAGGCCTTTACTTGAGCAGAGCAGCTTGCAGTCAGCAAAAATCAATAAAAACCTCCCTCTCCCTGCTCTCTTCGCTGATGCCTTTCTCAGTCTCAGCCCACCTGCTCCCATGCAGTCGGAATAAAATCTCTTTTGATACATTATGGCCTCATGTCATAGGTGCGCGACCCAGCTCACTCTGAACCTTTCACTCAGAAAGTGCATGTGCCATCAGTCGGAACAAGTGGTCATCTGAAGGAGCAAGGTCTGGTGAATACGGCGGGTGGGTTAATACTTGCCAGGCCAGATCTTTTAACGCGTCTTTACCTGGTTTTGAAGTGCGTGATGGTCGTTATCATGAAGCAAAATTACTTTGCTGTGTCTTCTGGCCCATTCTGGTCGTTTCATGATCAAAGTGTGGTTCAAATTGATTATTTGTCGATAACAATCAGTATTAATGGTTTCACCTGGTTTTAGAAGCTCATAATACTCCACACCTTCCTGATCCCACCAAACGCAGAGCATTGTCTTCTTTCCAAAGCGATTTGGCCTTGCAGTCGTTGATGGTTGACCGAATCAACCTGTGATTTTGTGCATTTGGGATTCTCAAAATAAATCCACTTTTCATCGCCAGTCACAATTCGATGCAAAAATAGATTTTCTTTCGTGCCGTAGGAGTAAATTTTACTGATGACTTTTTGGGTTTCCATTTGTCTTTTGTTCAGTTGATGTGGCACCCATTTTCCATCCTTTAAAATCTTTCCCATTGCTTGTAAATGATCGAGAATTGTTTGCTGAGCAATGTTCAATCTTTCTGTAAGTTGTTTTTGAGTTTGACACGCAGTTTCATCCAAAAATGCTTATAATTGTTGGTCTTCAAACCTTTCCGGTTGACATAAACATTCTTTGTCTTTCACATAGAAATCATCAGTTTTAAAGCATGTAAACCATCGTTCACAAGTATCTTGAGATGGAGCATGTTCACCGTAAGCTTCCCGAAGTATACGATAACTTTTTCTTCAAAATAAAGTAATGAATTAAAACTTCCCGCAAATGCTCTTTTTTTTGGCTCAATATTCGACACTTTTAAGCATAAAAATATCTATGATGTTAACACCTTCAGCAAATTTCACATATGAAGTTTTAAAGCTTGCTGTCAATACAACAAAATAGCATATATACCAACATATGTGTAACTCCATCTATTGAAAAAAATCTGCATTGTTAACTGGTACACCTAGTATAAGAGTCTCCAGAACCTGACCCAGATCAGCAGACCAACCAGGAACAAGTGAATTTAGATTTAGATATTTTGCAATCGTCCTTGGATCTCTTTTGACACCTAGATGACTAACTGTCTACTGCCTGCACCCACCTCTTGCCTCACCCTTCCTTC